CGTGATGCAGTGGCGTAACTACACTATCAGCTCAGGGGGTGCAGAAATCGCTCAGGTGGGGCCACCAATAGAATGATGTTCGGTTTGGCGTCCTCTGGTCTAGCACCATTGAGACGAGGCTCAAAAGAAAGCCGTCTCTGGTGTGGATCAATCAGTTTCAAGGACAATGCATATATTATCAGAGTTTTTTTTTTTGCATTTTGACCACAGGTATTGTGGTTAATGCAGACGGGATTCCTTGTAAAAAAAGGTTTCAGTTTTGTTGCCAGAAAAAAAGGGGAAAAACTCTACTATTATATTTTGGTACTGGCAAAGGAGGTCTAATGATTTAAATGAAGGAATTTTCATTTAAAAAAAACAATTTACACCGCGTTTAAATAAGTTTGTGCCCTTTAACACTGAAAACCTATCTCATTGTGGCTGTTAATGGGGCCCCAACTCGTAACCTTCGCCACCGGGGGGGGGGGGGGGGGGGGGGGGGGGGGCAAGGCACCTCCTGCCCCCATGCTCTTTGCGCAACTGCAGCGGGTACAGCTGTAATGCTCGCAGATTGCGACTGCACCATACTCTTTGGTTCTTTCGGTAAAGTCACGTGGGTATAACAATAAAATAAATTAAATCACGACGTTTCGGGCACAACACACAAGCGTCCGTCATCAGGTGGGACAACCACAGCAAGAAAACAATTGCTGAAGTGGTTGTGACACCTGAAGACGGACGCTTGTGTGTTGCGCTCGAAACGTCGTGATTTAATTCATTTTATTTTTTATACCCACGTGACTTTACCGAAAGAACCAAAGAGTATGGATCCCTGCAGTCACGAAAACTTCACATCTAGATTGCGACCGCATCAGCTGCTTGTCTTCCCTGCAGAAGTAGCAACGGTTGGCCACGTACGGTGCGAAACTGGTGTAGTTAGCCGGGTGGTGACCACCAGGCGAACTACACGGTTACCATGTAACTAATGTAGTTAGCCGGGTGGTTACCACCAGGCTAGCTACACTAGTTACCACGTAACTACTACTACAGACTGGGACCAACGACTTCGGCCCGTGTCCGCGTGTTGGAGATTCGTTGAACGGAGATTGTAGACGAAGATGAAGGTTTCTTCCAGGATGAACAACAACAACAACGCCGGTCCCTCTCGGGACCCAGCTTATAGTCTCTGCGGCGTGGCCGGCTCCACCCTTGGCCACGCCCACCTTCCAGAATCCTCGGGAAGGATCTGGGTCCCAATCACGTGACCCCCCCCCCCCAAGGCCCCTTGGCAACTTAACCGGTCACGTGTCCTCAACCAGAGTGCCATGGCCTCACACAACCTCATCCTTCGGTCGGCACCCACACACCCCGTCCTGTAGGGGTCGGCACTGCACTTAAGGCGTGGTGCCATCCAGCGCTATTGTTCAGCACACACCGGGCCCCTCTGGGGCCGGTACTGCACCCACAGCCTGTTGACATCCAGCGATGTCACTTCACACACACACACAGCTTGCGGTGCGATTAACAGTGGCATTTTCTGGCCGTTGCTGCTGGAGCTTCTGACGCTGTGGCTGATGCTGCCTGGGGTATGTTGTATGGCACTCGGTTCCTTTCGCGCAGCAGGCGAAGCGCTCTGCGGCACTCATTTCAACGACCTCCTGAGAGCGATGAAGAGCCGAGTGAACCCCCTTGAAGCACGCGGAGTCGGCGGCTCATCTCTGAGCGTCTGCTCGCCGCCACGGCGAGGAGTGGTGCAGCAATAACCTGCCGAGCCTCCTCGCACGCCCAGATGGGTTCGTCGGGACTGTGTGGCTGACACCGCCCGCCAGAATACAGTGTTCACAATCGCACTGAGATATCGATAAGTAGCCAGTATCACCAATTAAAAGGAAACCACAAGTGCAGAGCAGAGTTTGCAAGCAGCGTGTTTATCCGGCACTGGCACTCATCCAAGCAAAACAGATCGCCTGTCAGTGTGAGAGCGTGCGTGTGTGCGTGCGTGTGAGCGCGTGCGTGTGTGTGTGAGAGCGTGCGTGTGTGTGAGAGCGTGCGTGTGTGTGTGTGAGACGGTGTGTGTGTGTGAGAGCGTGTGTGTGTGTGTGTGAGAGCGTGCGTCTGTGTGTGTGTGTGTGAGAGCGTTCGTGTGTGTGAGAGCGTGCGTGTGTGTGTGTGAGTGCGTGTGTGTGTGAGAGAGCGTGTGTGTGTGAGAGAGCGTCTGTGTGAGAGCGCGTGTGTGTGAGAGAGCGTTCGTGTATGTGTGAGAGCGTGCGTGTGTGTGTGTGAGGGCGTGTGTGTGTGAGAGAGCGTGTGTGTGTGAGAGAGCGTGTGTGTGTGTGTGTGAGAGCGTGCGTGTGTGTGTGTGAGAGCGTGTGTGAGCGTGTGTGTGTGTATGAGAGCGTGCGTGTGTGTGAGAGCGTTCGTGTATGAGCGTGCGTGTGAGAGCGTGGGTGTGTGTGTGAGAGCGTGTGTGTGTGCGTGCGTGTGAGAGCGTGGGTGTGTGTGTGAGAGCGTGTGTGTGTGTGTGCGTGCGTGTGAGAGCGTGCGTGTGTGTGAGAGCGTGGGTGTGTGTGAGAGCGTGTGTGAGCGTGTGTGTGTGAGAGCGAGCGTGTGTGTGTGTGAGCGAGCGTGTGTGAGCGTGTGTGTGTGTGAGAGCGTGTGTGTGTGTGTGAGAGCGTGCGTGTGTGTGTGTGAGAGCGTGCGTGTGTGTGTGTGTGAGAGCGTGCGTGTGTGTGTGAGCTTGTGTGTGTGCATGCGTGTGAGAGCGTGCGTGTGTGTGTGAGCGTGTGTGTGTGTGTGCGCGTGTGTGTGAGAGCGTGTGCGTGTCTGCGTGTGTGTGTGCGTGTGTGGGAAGCGGTAGTGTAGTGGTTAACGTGCTACGCTACGAACCTGGCGACGCGAGTTCGATTCCCGCTCACGGCCAACACCAGTAACGATTATCTGAACCGGTCCTGGGCCTCCACCAGGTCGACTCAGCCTCAAAAGAGTACCTGGTGCGATGTGTAAACATCGCCACGAGGGAGACAAACGCGGCCGGGCGTGGTGCTGGCCACCCACCCCCTCGTGTGCCGTGCCGGCCTTTATAGGTGCTCGCTAACAGCACTTGCCCCTACAGTCTCTTTAAGGGTATGCGGGAGATCTTTTGTATGGGGGAGCGGTAGCGGTTAGCGCACCGCGTTACGAACCCGGCCACCCGAGTTCGACTCCCAATCACGACCAACAATAGTGGCAAATATCTGAACCCGACCTGGACCTGTCCTAGGTAGACTTAGCCTTAAATTAATACCTGGTGCGGTGTGTAGGACTGTGGAGACAAATGTGGTCAGGCGTGGTATTGGCCACCTACCCACTTACGTGTTGTGCCGGCATTGATTTAGAGGTGCTTGTTAACAGCATTTTCCGCGACAGGCTTTTAAGGCTATAACGGAGGTGTACTGTGTGTGTGTGTGTGCTCTCTCACCCCAGCACCTACAGGAGCGTGTATGCGAGGGGAGTTTTCGTAACTGTTCACACACTGGGAGAGAATCAATGTTGAAAGAGCGCAAATAGCCCAGCTACCTGGGTTCTGTTCCCGGCCATGATTTCACAGCGCCAGTGGCAAGTGATGTCTAAATCTGTCTTGCACCTTACCTGGGTTGACTTTACCATAACCGAGGGACTGGTGCGGTGTGAACATCAGGGACCGCGGGGGAATTGGCTTCGCCGCATCCTTTGCGTGCAGTGATGGCCTTTTAATGGGTGCTCGCGAACAGAAACTTCTGCGAGGCTAAATAACATGGGGGATCCGTTGTGCGTGTTTTTTGGGCGTGTGTGTGAACGATGCAAACAGCTGCTACTGAATCTGTCGGCAATCTGATACTGCACAAGGAGGGAAAGGCAGCCTCGAGTGAGCCCTCTGCACTGTTTACAGAAAACAAAATCATCCTAATATTATACTCTCTGTACATCAAACTTGTTTTTTTTTATGTGGCTGTTAGAGTGGAGAATTTCACGTGGCCGTACCTGGAGGGCAACGTGAAGATTGATAACAACAATGTTTACCCTGGAGGCCCTCACTCAACCCCAAGAATCGCTGTTTTCGGGAGCCCTGTTTTAATTGGAATTTTGGCCAATTCGTGTTTTTTTGGTATTTTGTGAGAATGTTGGCAGATTTTATATCCCTTTAAAGCATATTGTGTGTGATAGGAAACGCGAGCGTCAGGAGAACGTTACACATCAGTCGATAACACACTGCACACGTACAACATACACCGACTTGCTGTACTGCCTCTTGGTGGCAACTCGTTGCCCTCTTGCAGGTGGGTGCCTCGTGAAAAAGTGGTGGCTTTCCATTTCTTGAGTGATCCCCCCCCGCCCCACACCCCTCACCCCTCCACCAACGCCTCCACATCGCCGGATTACAGCCGTGCGCCACCACACCCGGCTGGCAAAACGCGAAGAGCGTAAAGCTGCCAAATGGAACCGGTTGCTGTTGATGCTGCTGCTGCCAGAAATGAAAATGTTAAAATTAGCCATGCTGGGCGGGACAATTCATGTGTAGAGGGATTGTGGACCCCGGAGCGTCGTCACCGTGGATCGCTGATGCGTGCTCGGAGCAGCATCCAGACACCTTTTGCCAGTCGTGTGAACCTTGCCAAGACCAAGGTCATTGAGTGACCTAAGTCTGTAAGGACAATGTTCTGCTACGCTATTATTGGCAGATATAACTTTACTAAATAAACAGATAAAAGTCTATCTCCGTCGCAAAAAACAACAACAACAATATTCTGTTTAACATGATCGTCCATGGCAAGGCATGGTGAGTTTTTGTAAAGTTTTGCTGAGTTGTGCTAAACGGGCTCCACAGTTGTCATCAAAAGCTCTTTCCAATAACATCTGTCACCCAGTGATATTTATTTAACAGGGCCTGACCCTGCTGTTGCAACACAAAACTTTAAACTGGTTTAAAGTTTTTTTTTTCCAGATCAATCACACGATACTGGACAACATTCGTCCAAGAAGCCCAGAGGCTGATGGACACAGTGTAATATTTGTATTCTGTTTATTTAGGTACAGCTGTAACTGTTTTCAATTTTTTAGTATGTGGCAAGCAGATGTAGAATAGTATGCTGTTGGATTCGAGTCATAACTATTATAACTGGCCAAGTGATATTGTTACTGGTCAGCATTGGTGTTTTTTTTTTTAAATAGACTTCTCCCCACCATAGAACTGTGAAATCTCCACCAACTTGCACATGGTGGCCAATAAAGATGAGCACTGGCAAAATCGCGCGGAAGTAATGAGATACTTTGACTATTGTATGCGTTTCATTTATATTGTGCACTTTCCTTTTGAATGAGGGTTTCTTAACGTTGGGTGGCTCTATGGAACAAACACAATGAATGAACAAATGATGATAATGCAAGGTCACGTCTCGTGAATCTTCAACAGAGTGGTCGTCATTTCATCGACCCTGGATGAAAATGAGCCGAGCCCACCCCTCGACCGATCGAGTGTGGGAGCGCACGCACGCACGCGCGCAAAGCCGATGCTGTGCATGGCAGCCATCCACCATCCGCCGCCAACACAAGGCGCTCCCTGCTGGCCCATTGCCCCGAAGCGGCGAGCTCCTTGCCATTCCGAGTGCTCGACAGTCACTCGGTCGGCTGCAGTCAGGAGGGGAGCCTCACCTGGGAGTGAAACGAGCAAGGATTACTGCAAGGGGTACCCCAGCAGTATGCCTTTTGTCATTTGTTTTTTTTTTCCCCGACAGCATTTGACGACGTGCTTACAATGTGTTCCGCTGTGTCCAGACTTTTTTTTTTACATGACACAATTTCTACGACAATGCCAGCTTGAGTACATCAGAGGGCATTGCAGAGTGTGGATGGACTCTTCTGCTCCATCTTCCATACAGCCCCGATGTGGCACACTCAGTTTAAGATTTTCAGTACTTTGCAGGAAGTCCATTAAGGCAAAACAATTATGTAAATGACGCGGCTTGTAGAGCGCTGTTCACAAATGATTTCACAACGCGGATGAATCTTCGCTTCCTGTGTGATGCATGTTAGCGCGCAAGTGCACAGGATAGGATGGAGACGTCCGTTGATACGTACTCAGCTAAATGTCCATAATATTCCCATTTTAAGGAAGATCTCACATTTTATATCAATTTCGCCAAAAACATATTGATAAAAATGGATATGTATTTCGAGGGCTTTATTCGTACGTGTGCTACACCAAAAGGGCAAAGATCCTCCGTATAGCATTAACAGATCGTTGGGGAAGGTGCTGTTAGCGAGCACCGATGAAGGGGGGTGGGTGGCCAGCACCACGCTCAGCCGCCTTTGTCTCCCTAGTGGCGATGTTGACACACTGCACCAGGTACTCACTTGAGGCTGAGTCGACCTAGGGGAGGCCCAGGATCGGTTCAGATAATCATCACTTGGTGTTGGCCGTGAGCGGGAGTCGAGGTCGGGACGCCAGGTTCGCTACCGCTCCCCACGAAGGAAACTAACACACACACACACCGCTATAAACCTTCGGCCGGGGAAAGTATACGCTGGTGGCACGTAACGAGGCGTCGCCCCTCGGACGTTCTCTCTCTCGACTGCTTTTTTTTGTTTTGTTACAAAGGCGAATTGTAGAGAAGTGGAAGTGTTCTTCGGAGGTGACGGCAGAATCGGCGTGCCCCCCCCCCCTCCACCCCTCTCCCGCCCCGTGCCCCGCGACCCACGGTAACGCGAGACACGCCGCTTGGGTGACGATCACACCCTGGGACGCGTGACTCGTCGGGGCTGGGAAGGGGTGGTGGTGGTTGGGGGGGGGAGTTGTTTTCAAGGCCTTTTGTCTATGTTTTGGTTTACTTCTCTTTGTGCGCACGGATGTGTGTGTGTGCGTGTGTGCCCCTGTGTACGTGTGTAGTGTATGTGGGGAGCGGTGGTGCAACGGTTAGGGCGCTGCGCTACGAACCCAGCGACCTCGACGAGTTCGATTCAGGCTCACGGCCACCAACACCACAGTGACGATGATCTGAATCGGTCATTGGCATCCTCTAGGTCGGCTCAGCATCAAATGAGTACCTGGTGCGATGTGTAAACATCGCCACTGTCTTTGCGTGTGGTGTGCCTATTGGGAGCGGTGGCGCGGTGGTTAAACGCGCTTGCTTTAACCAAGCCTGAAAAAATACTCGAGTTAGATTCTCGCTCACGGCCAACAAAAGTGACGCTTATCTGAACTCTTCCTGGGCTTTCCCCCGGTGTGTAAACATCGCTGCTAGAGAGACAAAGGCAGCTGGGCATTGTCCTGGCAATCCTCCCTTTCGTGTGCCGCGCTTGCCTTCATAGGTGCACGCTAACAGCGCTTGACAAAACATTCTGCTAAGGCTACACGGGGGATCTTGCAGAATCCACGTGCTTTGTTTGCGTGCTTCATTAAGGCCTTAGTCTCTCCGTTATTTGTGTTGACGTTGCTCTCGCAATTAACGCCACCGGTACTCTTGCTCAGGTGCTTGATCTGCTGAGCATCAAAGAGAACGAGCAATGGCTTAGACCACCAAGTCACACCACCTCGCATATCCAAGGTGTCTGGCTATCTTGAGATCGAGGTGATTGTACGTTGTGTGGTTTAAGGGGATATGTTTAGGAGCTAGTGTTAGGTTGAAGGGTAGGCTGTGGTTTTGTGGTCATGTATTTGAATGCATACACTATTTATGCTCGCATATTACCGTCTCTTGTTAAGACACTGCAGGCTGGAGGCCTCCCCATACCATGTCGGTCAATGGGGATGGTCGCCCATAATTATTTACCACGCGGTTTACTGCGGGGTTTTGAAGCGGTATGGAGGGGGGTGGGGATCCTGGGCCAGTTAAGATACAGTATTGTTCAGCAATGATGATGTTAGCCATAGCCCGGGGCTCCCATCCAAAGACACGCGCGTCGAGGCACACCTATCATCATTGTACATCGCAAATCACGCACACAATGTTGGAGCGATGCAGCCTAGAGTCACGTGGCTTCGGATTCAATTAAACCCTCTCGGTGTGTCGTGGCACCGACACTGCCTAAAATGGAAATTATAGCAGAGCCAAAAGCAAATATTTGAAGTGGGCCGTGAAGACAAAAGTCAACTTCACACCGTAGCTATAAGACACAGGGTCTACAAAGGATCGTTTAATACCAATCACACACTGTGTGATTAACATTTAACAGCCGCTTACACGGCAGCTCACGTGCAGTTTCAGAGTTCCATAAAAAATAAACGAATGACTCGCAGTGTCTTTTCAGTGCAACAATACTGAGCGCAGAATTCAATTACAATTAAAATGTGTTATCTTGGTTGTCAGGCCTCCTTGAAGTGCAACTGCATCTGGAGACGCCGTGCAAAGAGCTGGGAATTCAAGGGAAGAAGAAGAAGACTTTTGTGCAATGAGCTTTGATGTCAGTGACATGATGATGATGATGATTGTGATGCAGGGCTGAGAGGGAAATGGTGAACGTGTGGAGGAGGACTCTTGATACAGAGAGCCAGACCGAGACAGAAGTGAAGAGGAAATGTACTGGCTTGCTTACTTACTATGAATTCCTATTATTTTATTGTAACCGTTTTAATTAACTTCCATTTTCATTGAAAATTATTCCCAAAGCTTTGGGTTAATGTGAGGACAGGCAAATTTGGATGGGCCGTGGCGATCTAGGAAGCTACTCTACCATACAAGGCTGCTTGCTGACGGTGTGCGTGATTGTGTTTTTTTTATTTCATGATCACTTCCGAGAATTACATATTTCACGTAAGATATAAATTCACGTGTCAGTATGTCATACCGCACAATTTGAAGCTGTAAATTCAAAATCCTGGTTCTGGGTCAACTCGGTCATTTATCCCTCATGGGTTTGATAAAATTAGTACTATTTTTTGTAAGTCAACAGTGGCCGCCCCTTTGAAGAGAATGGCCTTCGCCATAGTAATGTAGAATTTCCACTACTGGATCTGGGCCTCCGCAGGAAAAACACCACCGCCCACTCATTTGATCTGGGATACCATTTGACTTTGACCTGTAGAGTCGACTACTGCTCATCATCATCATCATTTATATCACACCTTTCACAAAAGTGGCACAATGCAAACACGATGATTAATGATCGCATGGCTCAGAACTGGCTTTCTGGAAATGTTCTATAGCTTGGGAAAGAAAAGTACTACAGTAAAGCGCTTTGATGCAGGTGCCAGTCAGGGAAATTCGAACGCGTCCACACTGGCGATGAGGTTTTTGAAAGGAGGCTACGTTGGTTAGCGCGAGGTATGCGCGGCGTGTGCACGGCGGGATTTGAGCATCTTAGGAACGCCGCGCTTGTCCCGTGGCAGCGAGGTGAGTGTGAGTGTTGGCAGCAGAGATCAGCCTTCTCAACACTTCAGGTGTATCGGGCAGCTGTGGCCTCCTGCGTAAGGAACACCACTGCACGACGCACACCTCCTCCAAGCACCACCGCGGTCACTCCCGCAATCGCGCACGCGTGCGTGTGTGCGTGCGACGCGCCCTTCTTGCGAAGCATTTGGCGAGTTAAGGATCTGCGAGTGTCATTGTAGCTCTGTAAGAAAATACACCGAAACAGTGCTCGTAAATTTTATTTTTTTTAGTTTTTTTTTTACCGTACAGATTCATTTGGACGAATAATAATGGGGGGGTGATACAAATGAAGTTAATTTGCTCACAATCTCGCTTGTCCAGTGGTGGAGAGTAACTCATTAGGAGCAATGTATTACTTTCGGAATACCAAGAATTATTACTTAATTTTCAGGTTGAATTGAGAATACTGTTACTTAGCATTGGCCAGTTGATTTATTTGCATGAAGATTTTCATACTTTAAAAAAAGCCATAATTACTAAGAAAAAAACAAGTGTATATAAGGAAAGTATTATTTCAACAGCAAAGGGACAGATGCAGCAGCTGGTCCACACATATCCTCAACAATCGTAGCAAAGTGCCCCTGGTTACGAGGCTAAATCGGCCGAGTGTAAAGTACTTGTAAACATTATCAAGTAAACAAATTGCGCTACGTTGCAAATAGCAGGCATGGAATTGTTCTTGCTGAACCAAGTAAAAGTAACCCGACCGACGGACATCGTGAAATGCACACGTGACATTCACGATGCAATTTGTTTTGCATGTTCCAACTTTGCATCATGCGTGTAATTGAAATGTTTCTTACTGTATTATTTGACGGGGGGTTTTGACAGAGCTCCCCATTTAATGTCTTGTACCAGAGCCCATGCCAATGATGCCACTCCAATCATAATGGTCGACTCACAATAACATGAAATAAAACCCTCCCTAATCATCACTCAATGTTGATTTTAAGCTTTCGTGACTGCAATAATTGCTCTTCGTTTCTTTCGGTAAAGTCACGTAGAAAGAAAGTAAATTAAATAATGGAGTTCGACGTTTCGATTGCAACACAAGCAACCGTCATCAGGTAGAACTAAATTTGAGAGAGAGAGACAAAACATAGACACGGAGACACACAGACAGACACACAAGCAGACAGAGACAACACAGACACACAGAGAGAGGCACACAACATAGACACACAGAGACCCAATGCCTCTGTGTCGAGGCCTTAAATAGAGAAAGGAGAGAGGGGGGTGTGGGCAGAGAGAGGGGTGGGTCTGCTGGGGCAGCTGCCGGAGCAGAGAAATTAGCATGTCAATGAATCCACCCCGAAGCGACCGAGGGAAAGAAGATCGAATGGCCCTATGAGAGCCTAGTAAATTTTAGAGAGAGAGAAATAGTTTGAGAAAAACAAAATTTTGCAAATCTTTGGAAATCCAATGTAATGCAACACAGAGTAGGCTAACACACAGTTAACGCATACCCTGGTTGATTACGATCTCCAAAGATTGCTAAATTTGAAGTTAAGTGTGAAATTTGACAAACAGAGACACACACACAGAGAGAAAAGACAACTTACATCCTCCCCGTAGAGGTGGTTCAAACTTGATTTAAAGCTTTCGTGACTGCAGGAATTACTGCAGACCCACCTCTCTCTCTGCCCCCCCCTCCTCTATATTTAAGGCCTCGACACAGAGGCATTGGGTCTTTGTGTGTCTATGTTGTGTGTCTCTGTGTGTGTGTGTGTGTTATCTCTCTCTGCTTGTGTCTGTCTGTATTTTCCCGTGTCTGTGTTTTGTCTCTCTCTCAAATTTAGTTCTACCTGATGACGGTTGCTTGTGTTGCAATCGAAACGTCGTACTCTATTATTTAATTATTACTCTATTTCTACGTGACTTCACCGAAAGAACCAAAGAGCATCACCCAACGGCTGACTATAAAATAAGTACCACTTTGTGGGAAACCATCAGTGCAGATCGTATGCAGATGCTGACCCCAATCACGGAATCGTGGAATTTGCACCACTGGTTCTAAATGGCGATGGGTGCTCTCCCATCGCCCCTTTAAGCTGAGAGACGTGCTGATGTTTTTTGCTTTGTTCCTGTGACCAGCCGGTTATGTGATGCAACCTTGGCATGGAATCGCGGCACCGGTTTGTGTGGCTCCGTGTAGGTGGGGCGTCGCGCGCGCTGCGCGGGAAGCCGTGTATCACACCTCGACAAATCCTCCCGATCTCGTCACTGCCGCGAACGCATCTTAACCCAATAGATCCGACTCTGCAACACAGAGTCATGACCTGAATCGCAAGTAAATATTCACGCCAGCAGTCAGATTCATCGTGCGCGCCAGTGGAGGTTTTATAGTCCACGCGACACCACGCCCAGGCACAAGAGCATTCTATCGAAATATGTCGGGCACAGACTTGGCACTTTACCTGCATATTGGATTCAATGTTATTTCATTCATTTCAGGAGAAAATAAAAACGAACACGCTCACCTGCTTTTAGCACAATTATTTACGAGCTTTGAAACAGCGCCATTGTCCAAAATATCGCCTATTTTATATGTTTCCTCTGAAGGTCACCGTGTTATTGAGTGATGTTTTGCGGTTTATTTTTGTTCATTGTGCTTGTACACCATTTGCAACGCAGGAGCATCGCCAAATAATGTGTTTAGTAGAATGTTTATGTCCCATTCATTGTCTGAAGCAAGCGTGTAACTGTTTCGTTTCACTATTATTTTCGCCGCAACTCAATGTGGGATCCCATAATGTTCAGCGATGGCACTTTGCCTGTGACATCAGGTTACACGGTGCCATTGGTATGATGGACCACACCCTGTTTATGAGACTTGAGTGAAGCCATAACTGTGTTCATCACTCCAGTCCTATTTGCTTGTGTAAATAAATGCCACCGGGATGCAATATTCCAGAAGAGACATTAATTCCATTTTTGCTTAACGTTTGAAATAAATAAAAAAAAGCTGTAGTCATTGTAAAAAAAATCCACTGGGGGCGTACTCCAATATTTTTTTTTATGAATCTGAAATCTGGAAATCGTGCTTAGATGTAAAATTTCGAACGATCCGAATGTTTTATTTATTTACATACCTAAATGTGACGTCCCTTCGACAACTAAGCATCGCCCAACGTGGAGACAATTTGGGGGTTTGTAGCGGTGTATTTAATTTAACGTTGCTTATCGAACTCGTGCGCATTTTATATATGAATGCGCAGGCAAAAAGTCGGCGTGGCACAAATGAAAAGAGCGCGACTATAAACGCGTGAACAAAAGGGGCCCTCCACTATCTGTGTGCATAAAACCACCCGCCTGTTCCTTCATGCGAGAAACATGAATAGAGATGGAGATGGGCGTTGTTGTGGTTAAATTCGCTTCTCCAAGCGGACAGGCGAGCGTAGCTTTGCCCTGCGTGTCGGTGTAACGCACACCCTCTGCGCTTTCACGGCGCTCGTTTTTCATGCGCCAAACGATTGGCAAGGGACCAAAGCGTCAGCAAGTGGAACGCGAGCGACGGGAGAGTGTGTCCGCTGTCTGCGCAGGATAAACCTTTCGTGAGCACAAAGAGGGCGCAGGCGCGGAAGGCTTGCGAGGTCACCGTCGTCACCCACCAGTTGACCTTTATCGGTGCCAAACGTCCAAACGCGCAGAGCCCTCCCTGAAACGTAAGCATTTCAGACTCGGCGAAGCTTTGCCTGGAACGAACAAATGTTGAGGGCATTGTTATATGGCACTGTCACCTCGCCCACCGCGACGGTGAACACTGCAGTGAAAGCGCTCAACTGTACAGCTATGGAACAGGATTTAATAATCAAGTGAAGCTGGAAGTGTCTCCATGCGTGATGACCCGGTAACGCTGAGATTCTGAGTTGAAGTCCATGCAGCCATCGGTTATTAAACCTTTTCTCCATGGGTTTTCGTTTACTTTATTCAATGTATTCCAGCTTTGAGAATTACACATTTTAGTTTGATGGGCATGCAATAAAAAATATTCTTCACAGAGCATAGTAAAAGGTCTTCCCATACGGTGGAAAATTAGGCCGATTGAAGTGACGTGAGAATTTCACATCATCACATCATCTTCAAGAGCCATTGTCTGAGACAGAGTGATGGGTACACTGCTCACTGAAAGTATTATTCATTATTATGATACGATGCCCAAACTACATTTGGAATAAAAAAAAATAGAACAGTAATAATCTTAGTTTACAGTACCTGCATGATAATGTGAACTTAGAAAGTAACAATTTCCATAGAGGGCCCTAAACAACAGATCAAAATTCCATATTCCTATACTGGGAGATAATTGTTGACTCAACACAAGGTTGTACCTGTTATGCATTGGCCCGTCAGGAATGATGGGCTGAATCAACCCTTTCACAGAGATTTCAAATCACGATGTCATTTCTTTGTGTCGGCTGCATTATTCAGGGGATTAGTGGTTTTTGTTTTGAAACATTTCTATTTTCTTGCCAAAACGTTTGAATGTAAATATTTTCTGAATTAAGATAGGGAGGGGAGGGTTCAGTCAAGTTAACGTCGGGAGTCGACATAGCTCAATCATCTCACTGGGGTAAGCATAACGATTATCACCTTGTAGGAATTCAATGCTAAATTCTCCTGTTTGATTTGTACTAGGTGCCTCTGTGAATGTGTATGCTCTGACTTTAACATAGCCATTTCTGTGACCAGTCACAAGCTAATCACTCAGCTATTTCAATGCTAAATTCTATGCTAATTCCTTTGTCAAGGGGTGCCTCTGTGGATGTGTATGCTTTAACTTTAACATAGCCATTTCTGTGACCAGTCACAGGCTAATCACTCAGCTATTTCAATGCTAAATTCTATTCTAATTCCTTTGTCAAGGCGCTTTGTTTCTTCTCACACAGCTTGAAGGTCGCGATCTGAGCATGGTTTTGTTCGCTCCAGCGCTGTCCTCCAGTCAGTCTCGTCCCTTCACCTGATGAAGGCCGCTTGTGTTGTGGCCGAAACGTCGTGATAATTTTTTTGTGTTATTTTATAAATGTATTATTTTATTCTCATTCTACGTGACTTTACCGAAAGAACCAAAGAAGATGAATCCTTGCAGTCACGAAAGCTTTAAATCGAAATTCAACCAAAGTTGCCCCGTGATGAGACTAACCTCAAGCATAGGAATGTGGAATTTTCACCACCGGCTTAGGGCCCCTAATTGAAATGAATACCACCCCATTGCTCCGCGTCCACACCATAGTCCGTCAAATGCTGGTTGAAAAGTAAAATCCGTTCAAACTTTATTTGAAGCTTTCGCGAATGCAGGAATTACTCTTTGGTTCTTGCCAATTACATTTCCAAATTTTACCAAGTTTGTTTTGTCAAATGTCCTATTTGTCTCTCTAAATTTTGCCAGGTTTGTTTGTCTATATGTCCATTTGCTCTCCTCCGGCCACTCTCATTGACATGCTAATTTCTCTACCCCCCCCCCCTCTCTATTTAAGGCCTCGACACAGAGGCGTTGTTTCTCTGTGTGTCTCTCTCTCTGCTTGTGTGTCTGTCTGTGTGTCTCCGTGTCTGTGTTTTGTCTCTCTCTCAAATTTAGCAATCTTTGGAAGAACGTAATCAACCGGTTGGGGGTGTTGACTGTTGTGTCAGCCGACTCTCTGTGTTGTGTTGCATTATATTTTTAAGTTTACTAGGTTTGTTTTCTCATTCATTCTTACCTGATGACGGTTGCTTGTGTTGCAATCGAAACGTCGTATTCTATTACTTAATTTATTTTCTTTCTACGTGACTTTACTGAAAGATCTAAATAGTAAATCCGTTCACCTGATGGAACGTTCCAATATGGGATTACGTGACTTTACTTTAGAAAGCTCGCGATATCCGTAACAAGAGTATGTTAAAGGCTTCCAAAGTCACCCTCCGGACACGAAGTGGCGATTGCAATGAAATTGTCGTGGGTATACCATTGAACAAAACTTGTTGAGTACAATGATGCATGAGTCGCTGGGG